GGGTTCACAATGCTCGTCAGCTTAGCACCAACATCAGACCAATGCAGTTCGGCACGACCAGCGTTGGTTGCAGATCGACGATACTCTTGATACTGAGTGGTAAGTGGACGTGATTTACAGGATTAGTGTGAATCACCGATCAGTCGCATTGGAATACGTGGTAGGTTTATCAGAGAGATATGCACGAGTACATGAAACGGTCGGAAGATATCACATATCCTGTGAAACGAAGATTCTTGCTCACCCGGTCTCCATGGACCCTTCGGAGCCAACCTCGATATCATATCGATCATCTCACTAGCGCCGTTTCCCAGCAGCAGACGGGAGCGCATGTCAGCTGAGTCGTGAGGAGAGAGGAACTCGGCCAAGTCAGTGATTGCTGGCTCGAAGTCACTCGGAGGATAATGCTCGATGGCTGACCACCAAAGGTAACTTCACCGCGCCACAAAATTCACAACGCTACTCAGCAACGCCTCCTTAGCAGCTTCCAATGCTCCAGGCACCGGACCAAGACCATTCGTGGTGACCGAAAAGTCCTCAACAAGATTGCCAATCTCCGACCACTCCTGACGAGCAACACCATAAACGACCATCAGCTACGACCAGGCCCCACCTGCCCTCCGTGCGGCGTCTGTGTCTTCAAGTCCCACTTACTGACCTTCTCAGCGTCAACAACATCACTACTAGTCGCTGTGGTCTCAGAAACTACCGACCCTTCAGAAGACTGACAACAAGCCCTCAGACTGATAGTAAAATATATTCAAGTAACCTACGCTCCTGTGCAAAGCGAACTCCTTTTTCTCTGGAACGTCCTTAGTGTTATTAATGCTGTTCATAATGTGGCCTTTTTTATATCGAGTGATACGCACAACGAGCTCTGGTGAAGGATCGACTGATTACTCCGTAAACTTCTGGTTGCATAAAACAGGTTCTCGCTTCCGAGCGGAACCCTGCGAGAACGATAAGGAAAACTGATAAAAATCAAAAGTCATACCGCACCTCTGCGAAAGACCAAAAAAATACGCAACAAAACTAACAGCACGGGAAGCATGTCATGTCTGTCTCCGTGGCCTACTCCTCAAGACCTTCACCCGTTTACCACAACATATCACCACTGCAGCATCACCATCAATACGACTCCAATCACCACGAGAAGGACCAAGCGCCGTGTCACCACGACCAACTATCAACGTACCACCACACTTCACATGTCGCCCAGTATCAAACTCGCCGAGGGAGAAAACCACATCATACTTCCCACGTACTGTGAGTTTCACCTTCACCGCGCCACGAAAATGCCCACAGATACTCTCCAGAGCAATAGCATCCTCGACTGTAGTAGTAAGGACATGGACCTTCCGTAGACCTCCCAATTCAGACAGCACAAAGGGAGCCAATCTGAAGGACCCCGAGAAGAGGACACTTTTACCACAACATAACCCATAATGTAGCTGCAAC